AAACAACAGGCTAAGAAGAGAAGCTGCACGGCCCAAGAGAGGGCACTGGGAGTTACCTCTGACCCCAGTGAACTGCCAGACCCTGGTTCTAATTCCTTCTGAGGCTCGGCCCGGCTTCACTTCCTGCCCTGGGTTTCTCAGAGTGCCTTACATTCCCCCAAAATCTCAGCAGTTCCTGCCTATCGATTTGCTTTTTGCTTAAACTCTTTTGAGCAGATTTGTCTTTCTGAGTCTAAAAGACAAATGCAATGACCATGCATTCCAGAGGCTTCCTGAAAGAGAGGCTGGAGCTGTTTCACACACTCCATCTGAAAAAGCCCATAGTATTCTTATCTGGAGTTCAAAGGGGTTACTAATACCCCAGGAGAAAGGGTAAAAATTAGCTGTGGGGGCCGGGCGCGGTGGCTCAAGCCTGTAGTCCCAGCACTTTGGGAGGCCGAGGCAGGTGGATCACGAGGTCAAGAGATCGAGACCATCCTGGTCAACATGGTGAAACCCTGTCTCTACTAAAAATACAAAAAATTAGCTGGGCATGGTGGTGCGTGCCTGTAATCCCAGGAGGCTGAGGCAGGAGAATTGCCTGAACCCAGGAGGCGGAGGTTGCGGTGAGCCGAGATCGCGCCATTGCACTCCAGCCTGGGTAACAAGAGCGAAACTCCGTCTCAAAAAAAAAAAAAAAAAAAAAAAAAAAAAAAATTAGCTGTGGGAGGCCGGGCGCAGTGGCTCACGCCTGTAATCCCAGCACTTTGGGAGGCCAAGGTGTGTGGATCACGAGGTCGAGGGATCGAGACCATCCTGGTCAACCTGGTGAAACCCCGTCTTTACTAAAAATACAAAAAATTAGCTGGGCATGGTGGCACGTGCCTGTAATCCCAGCTACTCAGGAGGCTGAGGCAGGAGAATTGCCTGAACCCAAGAGGCAGAGGTTGCGGTGAGCCGAGATCGCGCCATTGCACTCCAGCCTGGGTAACAAGAGCGAAACTCCGTCTCAAAAAAAAAAAAAAAAAAAAAAAAAAAAAAACTAGCTGTGGGAAAAGAAATCTAAATTTCCCAGAGACAAGAGGATGAGTATGTAAATTATGGTATGTGGATCTGATGTATTTGCTGATACATTGTCAAAGTCATTGTTCTGAAGACCTATGTTTCAATATGGAAACACAGGAGGGTACAATATAAAATAAACATACAAATAAATTGGGAAGCTGAGGCAGGCAGATCACTTGAGGTCAGGAGTTCGAGACGAGCCTGGCCAACATGGTGAAACCCCATTTCTACTAAAAATACAAAAATTAGCCAGGAGTGGTGGTGCATGCCTATAATCCCAGCTACTCAGGGGGCCAAGGCAGAAGAATCCCTTGAACCTGGGAGGCTGAGATGAGGTTGCAGTGAGCCAAGATAATGCCATTGCACTCCAGTCCGGGCGACAAAGCAAGACTGTTTGTTTTTCAAAAGAAAAACAAACAAAACATAAAAATACAGAACTACGTCTGCTGTGATTATAACTGCTATTATGTAAAAATTATATACCAAGAAGGCAGCATCATAATAGTAATAGCCACCACTGGATTTGTCAGTGATGGTTTTGTTTGTTTTTGTTGAGACAGAGTCTCATTCTGTCGCCCAGGCTGGAGTGCAGTGGCACGATCTCGGCTCACTGCAACCTCCGCCTCCTAGGTTCAAGAAATTTTCCTGCCTCAGCCTCCCAAGTAGCTGGGACTACAGGTGCATGCCACAACACCTGGCTAATTTTTTTGGTATTTTTAATAGAGACAGGGTTTCACCGTGTTAGCTAGGATGGTCTCAATCTCCTGACTTCATGATCCACCCGCCTCTGCTTCCCAAAGTGCTGGGAGTCCGATGTGAGCTACCACGCCCGGCCCTCGGTGATGGTTTTATAGGTGATTTGCTCTCCTTCCTCCAGCATCACTCTACTGAGTTGTTAATACAGTAAATATTAACATTATAAAAAATTCTGAAAAGAACTACTCTATCTCAGTACTATCTGAAGAACATGAGGATTTAGACAACTGATGATTTTTCCTGTTGTTCTGGGAGTCAGCTGGCCTGATAGTTAATCTAGCTCAAACCTATTCCAATGGACATGGCTAAGGATCTGACATGAAGGGGTAGAGAAACGTCAAAAAGCAAGTTCATCTGCTGTGTAAATGCCTACTTCAGAAGGTGGATGTGACTACTAACTTCAGGCGGGGCAAATACCTAGTGCAGTGCTTGGCATATAGTCAGTGCCAGGAAATATGCAGTCAATCCTTACCACTTACGATTCCATATTTGTAAATTTGCCTCCTCATTAAAATTGATTTGTAACCTTAAAATGAATACTGGCAGTGCTTTTTCTTTTCCGTTTTCTTTCTTTTTTTTTTTTTTAACAGAGTCTCGCTGTTGCCCAGGCTGGAGTACAGTGGTGTGATCGTGGCTCCTTGCAACCTTTATTTCTGGGGTTCACGCGATTCTTACACCTCAGCCTCCCAAGAGCTAGGATTACAGGCACACGTCACCCACCCAGCTAATTTTTGTATTTTCAGTAGAGAAGGGGGTTTGTCATGTTGGCCAGTCTAGTCTTGAACTCCTGGCTCAAGTGATCCACCCGCCTCAGACTCCCAAAGTGCTGGGATTACAGGCATGATCCAATTGGTGACCATTTTTAACAGTAAAATCACTAGCCTAAAGCACAAACATGGCACTAAATAGGTCACAATAAGGACACTTGTTTAAAGAGCAAAACAGGAAGGCTTAGTGTCACCTTGCTTGACCTCAGGAATGTACGTGGCAGGTGACTTCATTTTTTGCTGTTGTGGGCATGTCTACTAATGACCTCAAAATCACTGTAGGCTGGGTGCAGTGGATCACCTGAGGTGAGGAGTTCCAGACCAGCCTGACCAACATGGAGAAACCCCGTCTCTACTAAAAATACAAAAATTAGCTGGGTGTGGAGGCACATGCCTGTAATCTCAGCTACTTGGGAGGCTGAGGCAGGACAATCCCTTGAACCCAGGAGGCAGAGATTGCAGTGAGCCAAGATCGTGCCATTGCACTCCAGCCTGGGCAATAAGAGTGAAACTCTGCCTCACACACACACAAAAAAAAAAAAAAAAAGAAAGAAAAAAGAAAAGAAAATGGTCACCAAATATAGTGCTGAAATGTTCTCTAGCGTTTCTAAGCATGAGAAGGCTGTGATGTGCCTTGTGAAGAAATTACATGTGTGTGATTAGCTTTAAGACATGAGTCACAGTACCGTTGTGGCCCTGAGTCCAATGTTAATGATCAACAATATATGTTTATGTGTCTTTAAACAGAAATACACATAAAACAAGGTTATGTACTGATCGGTTGACAAAAATGTTGTGAACAGAGTCTCACAGCAACCGAATTCTGTATTTCCCCTAGGAGTGATGGTTTGGTATGTGCTAATGAATGTCAGCAGTGACTTATAGAATGTAACTACCATGGTTAATGAGAATCAGCTGTAAATGTGGAACAGGCAGGAGGACCCTTCTTACTGAGCTAACTTTTAATAACAAGAGTCTCCGCCAGCTGGCAAGAAAGCTGCTTGTCCAATTTAAAAATAGCTTGGTAAATCCACAAAGAGTGCCAGATAAATTCTGGAACAAGTCCAGAATGTATTGTTGTAGACTGCAAAGAAATATCTCTTCAAGTAGATCCTGGTGGAGCTGTGCTATCCAATACAAAAAACAAAAGTACATCACAAAACAGTTCATTTTGTTACATATACGTCTGTATAATTATAGGTCTATTGCAGAGAAAAGTGGTGTAGAATGACATACAAAATGTTACCAGGATTAGCTCTGAAAGCTTTTCTTTTCCCTGAAAAATTCTGAAAGGCATACAGAAGAAATAAAACAATATACTATCAGAAGTCCCATTGCCACCCAGTGGCTACTGAATACCTGAAAAGTGGCTAACTCAAACTGAAATGTGCCAGAAGTGTAAAATATGCACTGGGTTTCAAAGATGGAGTAAGAAAAAGAAGGTAAAATGTCTCAAGAACATTTTTTAATTAATAATTTTGTATAAATGATTACATGTTGAAATAATATTTTGGATATATTAGGTTAAATAAAATACATTATTGAAATTATTATTACTATTATTATTATAATTTTTGGAGACAGAGTCTCACTAGCTCGGTCGCCCAGGCTGGAGTGTAGTCGCACAATCGTGGCTCACTGCAACCCTCGCATCCCAGGTTCAGGTGATTCTCCCACCTCAGCCTCTCGAGTTGCTGGGACTACAGGCGCTCACCACCATGCCTGCTAATTTTTGTATTTTTAGTAGAGATGGGGCTTTACGGTGTTGGCCACGCTAGTCTCAAACTCCTGACCTCAAGTGATCTGACTGCCTAGGCCTCCCAAACTGTTGGGCTCATAGGTGTGAGCCACCGTGCCCGGCCAAAAGTAATTTTACCCTTTTTACTTCTTAAATGTGGCTACTAGAAAATTTTAAATTACATGCATGGCTCACATCATATTTCTATTGGACCTGGATTCCTGGTGGAACACAGAACTCATATCTTGAAGTAGGCTTTCCTCTCTTGTTAGGGTAACAGGGCAAAAATCACAACAAAACAACAAAAAAAGGATGATATCTGTGGCACAGACTTCTTTATCCAGCTAAACAACTGCATTTGTCATTAGTGGCAAATGACTCATTTTTGGCTTAAGAGATGTAATTGGAAGTATTGTGTGTGACTCCCAGGAAGTCTCCTTAAATTGGAGGTCGCTTGCACATCACTTTCTCCTCAAATCCTGTTGCCTGCAACATGGATACAATGGCTGATGCTCTTGCAGTCATCTCAGACAGTGAGTTTGAAGGTCACAGCATAGACATGGCAGGGTGGTAAGCTAGAAAGATTCCTGACTTACCTCCAAATTTCTTCTACTGGAGAAAGAAATAACTTTCTATCCTGTTTATGCTAGTGTTAAACAGGAATTTTCTATTATATGTAGTGATTGGAAACTGACCTTTGGGTTATTCTGGAAGAACTCTATCAGCAAAGACAGCTTCTTCTGCAGCTCCTGCAAGTCCCTTGAGATACTCCGGGGCTCCTCTTTTGCCATCCTGAAGCTCACTTCAATCTCTTTGGGGATTATTTTTCCTACCAGTAAATTACCCCATGCAGCGCTGGTCCAATCTCTCAGGTTGCCCTGTCTCTTGCTGTTACCAGAGGAAACAAAAGTTGTTAGTGGCCTTCATCAAACTGGTTCAGTAAGAGCTTCTACTATCCTCATGCCTTGATGGCGGGCACGCAGATTGAGGGTAACCTGGCAATATTCACAACAATTTCAGATTGCACACACTTCGAGCCAGGAATTTATTTTCCAGGAACATGACGGAAATAATCAAACAGGTATCTCAAAGTGTACCAAAAGGCTGTGCACCGGGTCCCTGTTTGTAACCTATAATGACTAGCAAAACATTGGAAAGCTACCTGTATTTCCATTAAGAGAAAATGGATTAAATAATGAAAAATTCAGTCATTAAAATGATGGTGTGACTGTTTAGTGATGTGAAAAGATGTTTATGATACTTTTTTTTAAAAAAAATGACAAAATGTTAACAATATTATCTCTGAGAGCTTATGTTTGTTTTTTAGCTTGACAAAATGCTGAAAATATACAGAAAGAAAGTTGAATATACAATTTCGAATCTCATTGCCTTTTATTTTCCCTAGAAAGTTTTCTTGTACAACAGCAGCCTTGTTGTCTTCTTTATTACTGCACAAGTTGGCTCCCAATTCTATCCTTGCAGACATTATCAGTTTATTTACTTGTGGGTAAGTCTGTCCTTGCTAAGGAGAACTGCATCTCCCGGCCAGACCTTACCATAATAATTGTACTCTAAATTGCCTGAAATTTCCAGAGCTGTCCCAATCTCACACAATTTTTACTTATCTAATAAAGGCAATTGGTTAAATTAGATATATTTTTTAACCCATGTTTTCAAATATAAAGAAAAATTAATCTTATTTTATATTTCCCAGAACTGGCTGGACACAGAGATATCTTTTCCATTCCTCCCTATAAACTGACCTCCTGACCTACAGTAAAAATGTTTAAAAGATTCTGTCCACATGGCCAAAATTAATTGAGTGAGAGATCGTCACATTTATCATATTGAATATCCTACATGCTAACTGCATTCATTACAGGGGGTGATTCTTTTTTTTTTTTTTTTTTTTTTTTGAGATTCAGTCTAGCTCTGTTGCCAGGCTGGAGTGCAGTGGCACGATCTCAGCTCATTGCAACCTCCACCTCCCGGGTTCAAGCGATTCTCCTTCCTCAGCCTCCGGAATAGCTAGGACTGCAGGCACGGTCACGACGCCCAGCCAATTTTTGTATTTTAGTGGAGACGGGGTTTCACTATGTTGGCCTGGATGGTCTCGATCTCCTGACCTCATGATCTGCCCGCCTCGCCTCCCAAAGTGCTGGGATTACAGGCGTGAGCCACTGCCCCCAGACCAGGGCGTAATTTTATCTATTACTAAGATGTATAAGGTCTAGTATGCAAATTAAAACACATTTTAATCATCCCAGCTAGACATCCTCTGCTACTTCCCTTTTTTTTTTTTTTTTTTTTTTTTTTTTTTTTGCTACTTCCCTTTTGTAAAACAAGAAACCCTTTGGAGGGAGAGTTTGAGGAAGGGACTAATCCCCCCACCTAACATTCTCTCTTTGAAGCAGCCACGTACATCTTGAACTTGGGATGTGCCCAGCACTCAGTTCTCCTACTCTCATCTCTGCAGCAACCAGAAACAAGCCCAATTCCCCTTACAGGCCCAACTCTTCTTTGGCCTGGGAGCCTCAAGTGCCACCCAGACAGGTCTGGGGAGTCCGACGCGGCATAAGTGGGGAGAATGCCATCGGCCACAGCCTTCAAATGCGTCTACCTGGCCACCAATTCCCAGACACCCTAGTTACTCACTCCTCAGAGGAACCTCCCCAGGCACGGAGCTGTCTCCCGAGAAGGGAAAGCGTGGACCCGGTGCGGCCAAGAGGTGCCCCCACCGTCTCCACGCCTAGGGAACTAGGCCAGGCCGACACCAGCCAACCCTCTCCCCTTCCAAGTCTCCAAATAAATCTCTTGGCTCTCCCACCCTCGCACCTCCAGGGGCAAACGGCTATCTCGAACGTTCTAACTGGGAGGTGGGGATCACATCTCCGGTTGGGGGATGGGAGCTGCAGGGTGACTCAAGCTTACCTGGCGGCCCCCTCGCCGTCTGTACCCAGCCTTTCAGCCTTCAAAAGCCAGGGAGACCCCAGGAGAGGAGGAAGGAAGTGAAATGCAGGTAGAGAGAGGGTCCGCACCCCAGAAGGCACAGAGGCTGAGTAATGGGCACTCAGCGAGGAGAGAAGAGTACTTTGTTATTAATTTGGGGGAGAAGCCTCCTTTGATACTTGCAGATCTCTCTGCAGTGACCGGGAAGAAGACCTCGGTGGAGAAGAGGGGCTGGGTGGTGAGGAGGGCGCCCGTTTTCAATAATCCTAGTGAGGTTTGCCTCGACGTATTCCCTGTCAGGTTCCCCAGGAAGGGACACAGTCTCGGGGTGTGGTGGTGCTAGCTACCAGTTAATCTCATCTAGTGGTAGTGTGTGTGTGTATTTAGGGGTGGGGAGGAATCGTGTCTCCTCGTGCGCTCCCAGCCCGGTCTGTGACTCAACAGGCAGGAGACGGCCCTTACACTAACCGCGGGACGGAGGGTTACGGGCGTGGGACCCCGCTCGCGCGCTCACGCCGTCGCTCCCGCGCTCCTCCGCTGTCCCAGCCCGGCGAGGGGGCTCTAGCCAGCCGGGGTCCCCGGACCCCCACTCCCAAGCTCCCAGCTCTCACCTGCTCCTGGCGGCCAAGCAGCCCCCACCGCGTTTGCAGGAGGAGCGAAGAAAGGCGGGAGGAGCGAAGAGAGGCAGGAGGAGGAGCAAGAGGAGGAAGGAAAGAGCGTCCCGGGAAGGAGCCACTGCCGCCGGGCACCGCCCCCCGGCCCGGGTACCGCCTCCCAGCCCGGGCACCGCCCCTCGGCTCTGCCTCGCGGGGCTCGCCCCGCCCGCGGCCGGAAGGACCCGGTAAAGGCGCGTCAAGGCCCGGCGCCCAGGCCTATGGAAAGCGCGCTCCACACACCGGCTTTCGGAGCCCCTGGGACAAGCCCGGAGAGGTTGACAGATGAGGAAACTGAGGCTCAGAGAGTGTCCCTTCCCACACTCCGGGCTTGAAGAACGCTCAGACCACCTTCAGGACAGGCAGACTGGCCGCCGAGAGTGAGTTTTCGAAGGGTCTCAGGGTTTCCCCTCCTGTATACCCAAAACCAGATGCTCTGGAACGTCGCTGGAGCTCAAGACACACACATGATGAAGTACCACCCTGGCTGGAAGTTTTGTTTTTTGTTTTTGTTTTGAGTCGGAGGCTCGCTCTGTCACCCAGGGTGGAGCGCAGTAGCGCCGTCTAGGCTCGCTGCAACCTCCGCTTACCGGACGCAAGCAATTCTGCCTCAGCCTCCCAAGTAGCTGGGATCACAGGCATGCCCCACCACGCCCAGCTAATTTTTTGGTATTTTTGGTAGAGACGGGTTTCACCATATTGGCCAGGTTGGTCTAGTACTCCTGACGTTGTGATCCACCCGCGTCAGCCTCCCAAAGTGTTGGGATTACAAGCGTGAGCCACGGCTCTGGGCCTCTGGCTGGAGGTTTTTAACCATGACTCCTCAAATGCAAATGTCATAAGCTAGTGAGATCCTTCCAGATGGATTAGATTAGTATCTCCATTTTACAGATGAAAAAAAAATCCAGGCTGAGAAAGACAAGATAGATCCTCCTAAATTCCTCAGTTTGTAAGGATCCAAGTTGGAGCAGGAACCCGTGTTTCACCTGGCCCCAAATCTTAGAGTAAGGTTTCTCAATAGTAAGCTATTGACCTTTGGGGTAGGATAATTCTGTGTTTCTGAGCGGTGCATTGTAGAATGTTTAGCAACATCCTGGCCTCTTCCCATTAGATGCCAGTTACAAGAACCCCCCACCTCCAGTTATGTCTCAAAATATTGTCAAGTGTCCCCTGGGAAGCCCTATCATCCCGAGTTGAGAACCACTGGTAACTTACTATGTGACCCAGTAACCTCTCTGAACGATGGCTTCAACCATAAATTAGGGAGAAGGATAAGCCCAACCACTGGTCTGCTGTTGCACAGGTCTCAGCCACTTTCCAGACAGGGACCTGTGTTGACCGACCCCTCCTCTGTGCCTGTGGCCATAGCAACCTGGAGAATAAGTCTTTAGATAAAGAAAAGCTGACAGAACACAGTGGTTCACACCTATAATCCCAGCACTTTGGGAGGGCAAAGTTGGTGGATCACTTGAGGCCAGGAGTTCCACACCAGCCTGGTCAACATGGCGAAACTCTGCCTCTACTAAAAATACAAAAACTAGCTGGGCATGGTGCCACCCACTCATAATCCCAGCTACTCAGGAGACTGAGGCAGAAAAATCGCTTGAACCCGGAAGGTGGAGGTTGCAGTGAGCTGAGATCATGTCACTGCACTCCAGCCTGGGCGACTGAGTGAGACTCTGTCTCAAAAAAAAAAAGAGAGAGAGAGAAGCAGTCACAGGGTGGTAGTGAGGACTGGTGCAAAAGTGACTGTCAAGAACTTAGCACCTAAAGTAGGGGCTCAGAAATATTTGCTGGTATTACTACATCTACTACCTAATATTTCTGGAAACAATCAGGCTAATGGATAGAGAAATAGGCTTGGGATGATGGTTGATGATGATGATCATGACGATGATGATGATAAATCAAAGAATCCTGCCGTAATTCTTCCACAACAGCAAAAAAGAAGAGCTAATGGTGGGTATAGGACAGACAAGAGTCCTTAAATTCTTAAGTTTCAACCTATCATGTTTGGCTTCATGCACTTTGTTCAGCTGCAAAATGATGGGTTCCTCACCCAGGAAAAGATAGTTTGTGTGTGTGTGTGTGTGTGTGTGTGTGTGTGTTCCCTGGGAAAAGATTGTGTGTGTGTGTGTGTGTGTGTGTATTTTCCCTGGATGGATGTTGGAAATCCGAATTGGGGTTTCCACTGGGATTTTTGTTTAAGGGTGCCATCTAGGGGTATCTGTGTGAATCTTTGAATTCCTCCCACTTCTGGCATTTTTGCTGAGCCAGCAGAGTTTTGATTTTCCTTGTGTGACAGCTGCTTCCTCCACCTCATCATGTGTTCCTTCAGGGTTGGGATCCTAGAATCTCTTCACAGCATCAGGACTTGGCTCTCAAGGAACATGCAATGGTTGGGTAAAATGAATCCATGTGCAGCATCTCCTGTGTCTTCCCAATGACTTGCTACAATGGACTGAATATTTGTTCCTCTAAAATCCAGATGTTGAAATCCTAACACCCAATGTGATGGGATTAGGCATGGGGCCTTTGGGAGGTGATCAGGTCATGAAGGTGAAGACTTCCTAAATGGAATTAGTGCCTTTATAAAAGAGATCCCAGTTGGCCGGATGCAGTGGCTCACACCTATAATCCCAGCACTTTGGGAGGCCAAGGTGGGTGGATTTCTTGAGTCTAGGAGTTTGAGACCAGCCTGGGCAACATGGTGAAACCTGCCTCTACTAAAAATACAAAAGTTAGCTGGGCATAGTGGCAGATGCCTGTAGTCTCAGCTACTTGGGAGGCTGAGGCAGGAGGATCTCTTGAGCCCAGGCAGTCGAGGCTGCAGTGAGCTGAGATCATGCCACTGCACTCCAGCCTGGGCAACAAAGCAAAACCCTGGCTCATTAAAATAAAATAGATTCCAAAGAGCTCTCTTACCTTCTTTCCACCATGTGAGGATATAATGAGAAGTTGGCAGCCTGCAACAGAGAAGGAAGCCTTTATGGGAACCAGACCACGCTGGCACCCTGATTGTGAGCTTCCAGCCTTCAGAGCAGTGAGAAATAAATGTCTATTGTTTATAAGCGGCCTAGACTTTGGTACTTTGCTATAGTAGCCCCTAAGGATTGAAACTCTTGCTCTGCTTAAACAACTATTTTAGGCCTCAGGAAAGAAATGCCAGGAACACCAGCCTCTGAATAAGCAATGCACAAAAATTCCAGCACTCTGAGAGGCCGAAGTGGGTGAATTGCTTGAGTTCAGAAGTTTGAGACCAGCCTGGGCAACATGGTGAAACCTCATCTCAACTAAAAACACAAAAGATAGCCAGGCATAGTGGCACATGCCTATAGTCCCAGCTACTTGGGAGGCTGAGGCAGGAGGATTTTTTTGAGCCCAGGCAGTCGAGGCTACAGTGAGCTGAGATCACGCCCCTGCACTCCAGCCTGGGCAACAAAGCGAGACCCTGGCTCATTAAAGTGAAATAAAATAAAATGAAATAGATCCCAGAGAGCTCTCTTACCCTCTTTCCACCATGTGAGAATGCAATGCGAAGTTGGCGGCTGCAACACGGAAGGCGGCCTTCACTGCAACCAGAGCACCTTGGGGACAAGTCGAAACCTCGCTGACCTCTGCTCCCCATGTGGGTAGATTTGGCAAATAAAAACACAGGACACTCAATTAAATCTGAATTTCAGGTAAATATCGGGTAACTTTTTAGTTCATGTACAGCCTATGTATTGAATGGGACATGCTTATACTGAAACCTTCTTTTACCTGAAAAATTGCTTAACTGAAATTCTAATTAACTGGGCACCTTGTGTTTTGTCTGGCAGCTGTGTGCACTTGGAGTTGAACAGATTGAGAAGGGAGGTGGGGTGCAGTGGCTCATGCCTGTAATCCCAGCACTGTGGGAGGCTAAGGCAGGTACATCACTTGAGATCAGGATTCAAGACTAGTCTGGCCAACATGGTGAAACCCTATCTTTACTAAAAATACAAAAATAAGCTGAGTGTGTTGGTGCATGCCTGTAATCCCAGCTACTGGGGAGGCTGAGGCAAGAGAATAACTTGAACTCAGGAGGCAGAGGTTGCAGTGAGCCAAGATTGTACCACTGGACTCCAGCCTAGGCAACAGAGTATGACTCCCATCTCAAAAGGAGGAGGAGGAGTAGATGAAGGAGGAGAAGTAGGGGGAAGGAGAGGAGGAGGAGGAGACGAAACTTGAAGCCTATATCCTTTCTTAAGAATTATCCAACAGAAAGTTGTCAGACAACAAACAATCCTCATACAGATGAGGTGGCCTGGGGGAAGGCACTTTCATTCTCTTTGGCAGATATTTTATTTATTTTTCATCTTTCCTCAGATTACATGTAGGTCTTTGGTTGAAGCCATGGAACATATTTCATAATCAAGTTCAAACTTTCCTGCTGACCTAGCTGTGTGACTATGGGCAAGCTAGTTTAGAGTATCAGTTTCCTCAACCATAAAACTTGTGATAATATTAGTAGTCTAGGTTGTTGAGACGATTCAAAGACATGATGTTTATTAAGTGCTTACCAGCAGTCTCGGAAGATAGTATATGCTCAATAGGTGGAAACCATCATTATTGTTTTGATAGTTTTGAACGTAAGTAGACTTAAAGAACACTAAATTTCAGACGGCAGCATGCCTCCTACTCACACACAGGCCGTACGGTCCGTTAGCTCCACATCATGCCCATTCTAATTTTTTCTTTTTTCTTTTTTTTTTTTTTGAGACAGAGTCTCGCTGTGTCACTCAGGTTGGAGTGCAATGGTATGATCTCAGTTCACTGCAATCTCTGCCTCCTGTGTTCATGCAATTCCCCTGCCTCAGCATCCCAAAAAGCTGGGATTACAGGTGCCCACCACCACACCCAGCTAATTTTTTGTATTTTTAGTAGAGACAGGGTTTCGCCATGTTGGCCAGGTTGGTTTCAAACTCCTGACCTCAGGTGATCCACCCGCCTTGGCCTCCCAAAGTGCTGGAATTACAGGCGTTAGCCACCTCGCCCAGCCTTATTCTAATTTTTCACTTCATTGGATTACAGTTGCTGTTTTTGGTTGGACATGGGATTTCATA